TGGAGTGGTGGGAATGAGTGCGTTTGAGATGGCTATGTTGGCACAGGACAGAACCACGTTTAGAGCTTTTGTACATAGGGTCGCTATGAATCGCAAGCGACTCAATGGCACATAACAACAACAGCAACAACATAGGCAACTAAGGCATTACTCAAACCATTCTCCATCATTATCCTTTCCCTCTTCCTTGTCTTCTCTTCCACCTTTCTTTTATATTGCTTTTGTTTCCCACAACAGCCACAGTTAGGACGAGCAGGTGGCTGGGAGAGGGAAAGACTAGTATAGTTGAGTAGCTGATTGCATGGAGTGAATGATTAGATAGACAGAAAAATGCCAGTCAGATATCTCAGTATTGGCGGAAAAAATACCAACTTGGAAAGAGGCGAGAGCAGAGAGAACTCTGAGGTGTTGGATGAAAATGTAAACATTGCACTTCCTAATTGCCATTTGTGGTAGAACCATTGTCAAGGTGCAGACTGTCATAAAAATTCTAATAGGAAGACCATCACTCTTGAGACTGAACCCCCAAATACAACAGAAAATGTAAATTCCAAGATGCAGGATAAGGAAGGTCTTCCTCCTGGTGAGCAGAGCAACAGGAGATGGATAAACCTTGTCCATCTACACAACTCAAAGGGACTTCACACATCATCTTGTACTGAGACTATAGTGGTGCTGAGAAAAGAAAGTCCTACGATGCTCACAAGAAGAACAGCATCACAGAAAGAAGGGTATGCTGGTGGTTTTAAAATGCTATGAAGTGGTTGAGAATGGAAAATTGAGTTTTCTTTATCAAGACCGCACTTCAGATTAATGTAGAAAGATCTTCCGCAGGACAGTGGCTGATGTGGTGGCAGCCTTGTCTGATCTTCCGTTAACTCCACGAGAGGGAAATGTCCCCCTCCACAGCATCCCCAGGACAAAACCAAGTTCTTTGGGGTCAAACAAGGCTCCACACTCCCCTAACCTATTTCTGCCAATTCTAAAATCAACAGTCCCACCGGGCCTCTCACAGCTCTGATACTCGATTCAGTAATCTGTTATAACCGTCACACAGGACTCTCAGAGCCATAGTCATGGTGATGAGGTTTAGTGCGGAAGTTAATGAGTAATAGTTCAGGTGAAAACAGGATGCAATTCTTTAGTCATTGTAAGTTCTCAAGCATGCTCTCAGTCCCTTTGACCTTCATCCTCAAGTTGAGTGTTACAGAACTGTCTCAGTTTTGATGATTATGGTATCACCCTCTCTCCCCAGTCCTTGAACAATTATTGGCAAAGGATCCAGGCTCTGGCTTTGTAGAGCAGCAGTCTGAAGGACAAGTGCTGCATTCTTGGCTTTTTTCTTGCCAGTAGCAAAATTTTCATTCTCTGTCCCTACCCTGAGTGGTATGGGGTCCCCTAAGGCAACTTCTGTTACACACGTTGTTCTCCCTCACTCTGCCCCTCTACCCCATGCTTTGTGGTCCAAGATTTGAAGGTGGGCTGGACCCACGGGCTTCTAGGGTCCTCCAGGACACCTTCTGCCATACACGTCTTTCCCCTCGCTCTGCCCCACTCTCTGTGCTCGAAGATTTGAAGGTGGGGGGATGACAAGACTGACTAATGCTGCCATTAATAGTCTACACACCTTGTTTCCCTGTTCTCACCCTGCCAATGGGAAATATCAAAAGCAGTGCACTAAGAAAGGCATTTTGAGGAATAAATTCACTGGCACAGTGATTGTTGTTGTTGTTAGGTGTTGTCGTGTTAAGTATGACTCATAGCGGCCCTGTGAACAAAACATCTGAACCCTCTTCTATCTTGTGCCATCCTTTCACATCCTGACACACAAGAGCCCATTACAGAAATCATGTCAACCCACGTGGTCGAGGGTCTTCCTGTCCTTCACCGACCCTTCACCTTTCCCAGCAGCATGTCCTCCTCCAAGGAGTAGCGCCTCCTACCAACATGCCAAAAGTCGGTGAGGCAAAGCCTCATCATTCTTGCCTCCATAGAGCACTCCGGCTGCACCCTCTCCAAGACATACCTGTTTGTTCTCTTGGCCGTCCATGGGATGTCCAGTGTTCTCCAACACCACAGCTCAAAGGTGTCAATTCTTTTTCTGTCATCCTTATTCATTGTCCAGCTCTCAGATGCAGAGCAAGAGACTGGAAAACTGTGGCCCGACTCAGACATACCTTACTCATCAAACTGACCCTGTTGTTGCTGTTAAGAGCCATCCAGTCGTAGACCACTCGTAGCGACCCTGTGAACAAAAGACCTGAACACTTGTCTAACTTTCGTTGTTTCTCCAGGTTCATAGAGTTTCTGGATGCCACTCAAGCTTTCAAGCTTGTTTTTAATTGGGGGGCTCTACCAAGCACTGTCCACCATGGGTAAACATTATCGCATTTGACACATTAGTGTCAAAGTGCTTAGCATCACAGCAACCATGTACAACAACCACTGTACAACAAATGGACAGACCAGTGCTGTACCACTTAGAAGAATGTTTGACCAAAAAAAATTAAAAGCAGGCCTGAGGGCCACAGATTAAAATCACTCACCTTTGGCTTGGTAGCATTACCTACTCAATAATTTGGAGAGGTCCCTAACTACGGATTTTCCCAGTGCAATGTAACTCCTTATTCTTGACCACAGTGAGTGTGTGTGTGTGAGTGTGTGTGTGTGTGAGTGTGTGTGTGTGTGTGTGTGTGTGTGTGTGTGTGTGAAAGACTTTGAACCCTAGGGCAAGAATGAGCCTGGAAGGCCAGATGACCTGGGGACACCAGGATTTCACACTACCAAGTGATGGTATTTTGAGGAGCAGCTACTTTGACACTTTGATAAACATTACTGTGGCAAGTGTTGTCTGACCTATTATGTCACAAACCTGAAAACATGGAACATGTATGAGTTAGTAAAAGACATGAATGAGAAAAGAAATGTGTTCTATTCTTAGCTGAGTTTTCTAAAACCGTAACAATAAAAGTGATATAAACATGTATGTGTTCGTGCATATTTTCCAGTCTGTCAAGTTTGGAGCACTTGGATTCTGGAAGGTTTTGGGGTGGGTTGTTGTTGGTTTTTTCAAGTGTTTTTATCTACTTGAAAGCTGGGCATAAACTGGGTGGTGGAGGTTTTTTAAAAAAATTTTTGTTCAATAAAAAGTGTAAGCTGATTGGCTGTTTATGATTTTGTTAACAATCAGCTGTGGGCTGAAAGTCTCTTGTTTAAGCAATCAAGACATGGTGGGTGGGCCTTTGTATTTAAAAGTTGGTTGAGTTCTACCTGAGGGTGAGTCTCCAGCTTGGAGGATAGAAGGAGAATTGATGCCTTTGAGCTGTGGTGCTGGAGAAGAGTATTGAGGGTACCATGGACTGCTAGGAAAACAAACAGATTCACCTTGGAGAGGGTTAAATCGGGCTGCTCCTTGGAGGCAAGGATTCTGAGGCTTCATCTGACATACTTCGGACATGTTGTAAGGAGGGACGGGTCCTTGGAGAGGGATATCTTTCTTGGGAGGGTGGAGGGACAGCGCAGGAGGGGAAGGCCCTCTATGAGGTGGATTGATTCAGTGACTGGGGTAATCGGGATGAGTGTGTCGGAGACAGTGCAATTGGCACAAGACAGGGCAGAGTTTAGGGCTGTTGTACATAGGGTCGCTATGAGTCACAAGCGACTCAACGGCACATAACAACAACAACAACGTCTAGAGCCAAAGAGGAAGAAATTGAGAATTTTTACCAAATCTTGCAGTCCAAAATTGACTGAACATCCAATCAAGAGGTGTTGATGATAACTGGTGACTAGAATGCAAAAGTAGAAAACAGGAGAGAAGGAAAAGTAGTTGGAAAATATGGGCTTGGTGATCAAGATGAGGCTGGAAATAGAATGATTGAACTTTATATTTACAATGCTTTATTCATTGCAAATACCTTTTTAAAAAGACACAACTGCTCTTCCGCCCGCCCGCCGCCGAACAGCCATCATGGATACCAGCCGCGTGCAGCCTATCAAGCTGGCCAGAGTCACCAAGGTGTTGGGCAGGACTGGCTCGCAAGGGCAGTGCACGCAGGTGCGCATGGAGTTCATGGACGACACGAGCCGCTCCATCATCCGCAACGTGAAAGGGCCGGTGCGCGAGGGCGACGTGCTGACCCTGCTGGAGTCAGAACGAGAGGCGCGGAGGCTGCGCTGAGGCCGCCGCCGGATCCTCGATGTTTCTTCTGCTTGGCCCCGGGAATGATATTCATCGTTCATTAAAATCTATGTTGTGCTAAAAAAAAAGACACAACTATGACTTTACACATGGATTCCACCTGATAGGCTGCATAGAAACCAGATTGACAGCATTTGTGGAAGAAATTGTTGGAGAAGCTCAATTTCGGCAGTCAAAAGTAGGCGGGGGCAGACTGTGGGTCAGATTAGCAATCATTCATGTGTAAGTTCAAATTGAGGCTGAAGAAAATGAAAGTCAGTCCACAAGAACCAAGATATGATCTTGAATCAATTCCATCTGAATTTCAAGATCATCTTAAGTTTGAAGCATCAAACACCAACAATCAAAGACTGTTCTCATGTCCCTCATGTTCTGTGTTCCCACATTCTTGTGTTTCTGTTTCCCCATATTCTCATGTCCCTTCATGTTCTGTGTTCCCATATTTCTGTGTTCCCCCACGTTCTCACGTCCCCTCATTTTCTGTGTTCCTATCCCGTGTTCCTCCTATTCTCATGCCCTTTCGTGTTCTGTGTTCCCATGTCCTTGTGTCTTGTGTTCCTGAGTTCGCCTATATTCTGAGGTCCCTTCATGTTTTGCGTTCCCTTGTTATTGTGTTCCTGTGTTCCCTCATGCTTCTATCATATTCTCATGTTCCCTCAGGGTTCTGTGCTTGCCCATTCCTAAGTAACTGTGTTTCTGGAAAAGGAAGAATGCTCACTGGCCTCTCAGAGCAGGAGTATGCCCCATTCCTTGGCCAAGGTTCTCTTTCCTTCCCTTTAAATTTGTTGTGGTGAAATTCACACACCAGCCTGCCATTTTATTGTGATTGGGTGAAGATCTATGGGACAGAGTCATTATCTACTCGATGCTTTGTGTTTATTATGGGTGACGTTTACCAGGCAAATTGGTTTTCCATTCCATAATGCACATGTGTTCAGTTTTGTGAGAGTGGCTCCAATGTCTTTAATATAGCAGCACCTTCTAACCCCTTTCCTGGGTTCTCCCTGGCCCTTTTAACCATCACTAAATGGATAGATCAGAGCCACTAATTACACCATCTCGTTGTTCAACATCACCGCTACCCACTTCCAAATGTCTCCCATCATCCCAAACAGAAATGCCGTATCCATCAGCAGTACTCCCCCTCATGCTCCCCACCCCTACACACACACGCACACCCCAAGCCCTGGGAACCTTCATTCTACTCTCACCTGGTCTGTGGTTTCATCTCCATGGGGCTGTGTGATGGACGCCCCGTTGTGTCCGAATTATTCCACTCGACACCACCATGTCAAGGGCCATCCAGGCTGTGGCATCTGCGGGCTCCATTTCTCTTATGACTGAAAGCCAGTCCCTCTTACTGATGGCCCGTGCAGGGCCCATCACCTGTTACTAGTTACTCATATTCTTCCCATCTTTTGGCCGTGGTGCATGGTGAGCTTGACAGGTCTTGCTTGACAGGGCCTGGGAAGATTGTCCAGTACTACAGGGGCTCTGGGCACTTCTGGTGATGCTGGTCTCCGGGCCACACTATGATGGTACACATCAAGTTAAAACCAGAACCAAACATGGGGACCAGCCATCAGGCCTGTGAGCCTATAAACTGCCTTGCCATTGTTTTAAAAAATATTTATTATTAAGGGAGCTCTGGTGGCCTAGTGGCAAAAAGCTGCACTGCAATCCTGAAGGCACGTGGTTCGAATCCAGATGCTCCGCTGGAGAAGGACGGACAACCTCCTCCTGTGCCAGTCGGATCTGACTTGATGGTACCCAACAAGTACAAATATTTATTATTTTCCTTTATTGAATATTTGAGCAGCAAATTGGCTGTTTATTCACCCACCTGCACACATTTTGTTTTATAACATTACTTGCAGTGACTTTTATTTGAATTAATTACAGTGTCTCACTGTGTCCCTATTGTGCACTGCCTCCCCTTCACCCTGACACGTGCCTGGCATCTGTTTATGGTTTTCACCCCTGACTATCATCCAAGTACGGTTTCTCTGTAAATTTCTCTTTAGCTTTTAGAATGTATTCTCAGCAACACTTATCCTCCTGTGGCAGACTCCCTTTGCTGGGGAGTTCTCATGGTGCAGTCCACAGGAAGGGGGTGACTCGACTGCAGCTCCTCCGGAGAGGGTGCCCCCCCGTGTGATTGTAGCCTAAACACACCCATTTGAGGGTCAGCTGGGAGTCGGCTCTGACTCAAAGGCAATGAGGTTTTGAGTGAGAGGAGCTAACAATCTTCACCTCGAGCCCATTATTGCAGTAATTCCGCACTTCATCTTGCAGGGAGTCTTGCGCTCTATCTCTCTGACCCTCCACCTGTCCAAGCAGGATGTCTTTTTCCGAGGACTGGCCCTTCCTGGCAACGTGCCCAAAGTATGTAAGATGAAGTCTCACCATGCTTGCCTCCAAGGAGAATCCTGACTGCACTTTCTTCATATGGACTTGCTTTGTCTTTTGGAAACCCGTGGGATATTCATTCAGGACTCTTCTCCAACACCACAGCCCAATGCCATTGGTTCTTCCGTCATCTTTACTCACTGCTCAACTTCCGGATGCAAAGAAAGTATGTGAAAAAGACCATGGTGGTAGGTCTGGCGGCCTAGTGGCAAAGACTGTACTGCAGTCCCAGAGGCATGTGTTTTGAATCCACCAGATGCTCTGCTGGAGAAGGAGGGCCAGTCTCTTCCTGTGTCAGTCAGATCCGATTCAATGGTACAAGGAAAGAAAAAGAAATAACTAAATAAATAATTGGATTTTTTTTTAAAAGACCCTGGCTTGGACCAGATGACGTTTGCTCTTTGAGTGGATGGAGCTGCTCTTGAAAACCCCTGACAGCGATTTCCCCAGAGCAGCGTCTTTTGATTTCTTGCCTGCCAGTGGCCTGTGTAGGAGGGCGGATGTCCTGCGTTCCCAGTTCTGGTCTTTGATCTATTGGATCTGCTGCTGTACCCGTACTTACCCAGTTGTGTTATGACTGTGCTTGTGCAGCGGGTTTTGCATTCAGTAAGGGAACGCCTGCTGTTAGGGACCTCTCCAGGGTACTGAAGAGCAACGGTGTCATTCTGGAGACTAAGGTGCATCTGATACAGGCTATGGTCTTTGCAATCACTTGTTATGCATCAGAGAGTTGGACAATGACTAAGGATGACAGAAGAAGAATCGATGCCTTTGAGCTGTGGTGCTGGAGAAGATTATTGAGGGTGCCATGGACTGCCAAGAAAACAAACAAGATTCAGCCTGGAAAGGGTTAAACCGGGTGGCTCCTTGGAGGCACGGATTCTGAGGCTCTGTCTAACATACTTTGGACATGTTGTAAGGAGGGACTGGTCCTTGGAGAAGGACATCATGCTTGGGAGGGTGGAGGGACAGCGCAGGAGGGGAAGGCCCTCTATGAGGTGGATTGATTCAGTGACTCGGGTAATCAGGATGGGAATGTCAGAGACAGTGCAATTGGCACAGGACAGAGCAGGCTGTTGTACACAAGGTCGCTATGAGTGACTCGACGGCACATAACAACAACAAGGTGAGGATGTCAATCTTAAAGGAGTCAGAATTTCCATCTTTCTCCTGGGAGCAGCTGGTGGCTTTGAACCCATGACCTTTCCCACATAACCTCCCACACCTCCTAGTTCTGGCCTGGGACCTCTGAGTGTTCATGTGGCTGAGGTGGTTCAGACGCACAGCAGGCAGGTTTGATGCCGGGATCTTGTCAGATGTGCAGATCCAGGCTGCCAGAGGCCCTTGACGTCACAAACCCCGAGGCCAGGCCCAGGACCCAGGATGCTTGAAGGCACCTGGAGGCCAGGGATCCAAGCCAGTTCTGTCTCTAGTCTTCCAGCTGACAAAGCTGAGCGCTGTCCTTGTGGTCAGAGCAAGGTGGCTGTCCACCCTGACGCTGGGGCTCAAGGAGCGCCGTGGCTGGCCGCTGTCTGGGGAAGACCTGGGGACAGCACCTATGAAAACAAGACTTTGGTCATCAGAAGAGAGGTGGGTGATGGACAGCAGAGCCCAGGGAAAGTGAGGTGACCTCACAGCATCCCCATGTGTGCCAGCATGAACAGCAAGGTGACCTGTTCTCACAGTGCCGCCATGCGTGCCAGTGTGGACAGTGAGGTGACCTGTCCTCACAGCACCTCCACGTGTGCCAGGGCAGACCTTCACCCACAGGGTGGGCACAGGGCTGACTGCCACGCCTTTTTTCCCAGTTGTCCCCACTGCTCTCCACCCTCCAGTTTCCATCCAGCAGCCGAGGGGCTCTCTGTCCACTGAGGATGCTGAGAGGACAGCTGTGTGTGCTTGGACATACGTGGGTCACCCTGAATCCAATCAGTCCAGAGACCAAGAACTTGAAGGTTTGTTCCACGTTATGGTGCTTCAAAGACGCTGGGCAAATGCTTGAATGCAGATTCTGCAGGACGAGAAAACCCGCCCGTGTGTCCAGGGCCACTCTCTGGACCCAGTCACACAAGCCCGAGTAGCTGCAGGTGAGGATAAGTGACTGACCGGTGTGCCCTGTCTGGCCATTCCCGGCCCCAAGGCCGCCGGCTGCCTTTCGAGCTTCCTTTTCACTTTCCTTCACGCCACAAATCCAAGTGCTCTTAAATGTCCTTTGCACGGCTCACGCCGTCTGCCAGTGTCCTCCTGAGGGTGGGTGCTGTGTTCAGCGACCCATAGCTGACCCTCCAGGCCGCTTTCACAAGCAGTAAATTGCACAGGAGGAGAATGTCCATCTTTCCCCAGCTAGTGGATTCCAACCTTGAACCTTTGGGTTGGCAGCACACTGCCCAACCACGAAGCCACCAGAGCTCCCTCATCCATACCTAAGACGTCAAGTCTGAGTCAGCGGCATGGCTTCCCCTTTCCCCAAAATTCTCTTTAACACTCTGTGAGGGCTGTGGTTAGGTGCGTCAGGTTCAAAGGAAGGACTGTCCTGTCCTGTGGCCTCCTGAAGTGGGCCATGTCTGAGC